AACGCCTCTTCTCCGGGCGGCAACCCGTCCTGGCCCCTTGTGAGATGGATTATTAAATAAAGCAGAGATAACGAAGAAAGGATGTTGACTGGAGAGGCAGCAATGGGATATGCAGCAGGATATCTGCTTGAGTTGTTTGCTTAAAGATACCAAAGCCTACACTTCTGCTTACAGTGTAACACCACTGGTCGTAAGCCAGCCTTGAGCAGCGGCAGGATTCTTGGTGCAAGCAACCAGGTCTGGTGCCAGGAGGAGCACTGCTCATTTCTTCATGCATTCCGTGCTCTCTCCTGCTACCACCGGTTGCCCTCCTAGCCCACAGGTGAGCCTGCAGCTCTCTTGTTTCATCAGGCTTGCAGAGCTCTGCAATACAACCCGGCCAGAGCTGGGATGGGGCTCTGCGCATCCATCCCCACAATGGGAAGGGCAGTCATCCCCAGTGGTCACAATGGAGCGAGCCCTTCTCCTCCAGGTGCTGCAACAGCAAAGCACAGAGCACACCTGGGAGGGAAAGGCTGAAAGCAGAGCCTGGGTTTGGGAGGCGAGGGCACCTGCTGTTCCCACTGCCCTGCACTTGGGGTGTCACTGCTCCGACCCTCTGATGTTGGACCCTGGGCACTGGAGGTTCTCGAACACTCAATGGTTGGCACCCACAATGCTTGCTGCAACCTCGTGGAAGAGTAAACAAGTTCTGTGCCAAAAGCTGCTCTCATTTCCAGCTACAAAAACCCAAAGTCACTCCCTGGACCGCTGGAAACACCGCTTTCACGAGCAGACATGGAAACACACGGGCTTCATCTCACTGTGCTCCAATGGCCATCGGGCTTCCAACCATCGGGCAAACCTGACTGTTGTCTCCTTATTGCTCCCAGAGAAAGAATAAACTTCTTTGTGCATAGAAACACCTCCTCAGTGAGGGCTGGCGGAGGTCGGGGCCCATGTTGCTGCTGTCCTGCACAGGGCTGCCCTGGGGGTGCCACTGCTCACGCCGGTCTGATTCTACCTGCAACACATCCTAATTAAGGAATCATTATTAAAAAACCAGAATTTGCATTCACTGAATGTGTGACTAGGAGAGACACTGCAAACAAACAGAAAACCTGCAGATTAGGATGCTAATGAGATGCATTTCTATTTATAATCTGCCTTGATCAAGCAAAAGTGTTTTCTGTTTCAGGTGTCAGTGCTACTCCCACAAATACAAGTAATTCCCTTGGCAGGGAAACACCTGCCTGCCTCCAGAGATGGGCATGGGCTGGGTAAAGTGCTGTGCTGGAGCCATGGGAGGAGAGAGGGAAGAGAACAGAATGAGAAGAGAAAGAGAAAGATGAAGAGAAGAGGAGGAGAAGAAGAGGAAGAGGAGAAGAACAGAAAGAGGAGGAGAAGAGGAAGGGATGAAAAAGAATAGAAGAGGAAGGGAAGAGAGTACAGGAAGGGAAGAGGAAGAGAAGAAAGAGAACTTGACAATGTGAAAAACAGCGACGGCATTGTTTTCTTAAAGGCAGCTTGAAGAAAGCAAGTTGAAAGATGAGTCATCATTTTGAAACGTTCCTCAAACAAGTTAAATAACTCTTACTTTCTTAACGACTTATTAATCAAACTGCATTGATTCCTGAATCAGATTCCACCACCACCAAGCTCTCTGTCTTCTCCATCCCGATGCACGCATTAACAGAGTTTTATTCTGACAGATACAATATAGCAATCAATAAAATCTTATTATATGGAGCTGAGATACGTGGATTTGTTGCAGGATTTATGCATTACTTCCAGGCCCGGTGCTATTTCATGTCTCAGCCTTAACCTGTAATTGAAAATAAATCTCTCTGAATACACCAGATTCTGATTTTCTGGAAGTATGGCAAACATGAATGGAAGCACCTTCCTGGGGGGCTCAATGCTTTCCTTAGGGGGGGCTCAATGCTTTCCTTAGGGGCTCAGCACCTTCCTGGGAGGCTCAGTGCTTTCCTTGGGGGCTCAGCACCTTCCTGGGGGTCTCAATGCTTTCCTTGGGGGCTCAGTGCTTTCCCTGGGGGCTCAGCACCTTCCTGGGGGGCTCAGCACTTCTTGCTGCCTGCAGCAGATGGGGGCACCCCGCAGTCTCCCTGGGAATGGCCGGAGGGGATTCCTATCTAAGCAGCTCTGTCAACAGCATGAATACAATACAACAAAAATAATCAAATTCACTCAAATGGAAACGAGAGCTGCAGAGAGAGAGGCAGACAACGGTGTGAACCTGAGAAAATCAAGAAGCAGGGAGTAGCAGTAAATCACCTCCGCAACACCCAGAGTTTGGCTGCATCCCATTGCAGCCAAGATCCTGAATGCACCAAAAGGTCACAGCAGCACCGTGCTGGGTTCCTTCCTGCAGTGCACGTGTGTTCCTTCTCTCCACAGCGGGCACATTGGCAGGGGGATGTTTGTGCAGCCTTCCTGCATGCATGGCATGGCCCTCTGGTGCTCACAGACGTGCAGGTGTTGCACAGAGCTCCTTATTCCTCCCTGGGAGCTGCTGGAGCCCTCAGCTCAAGCACTGATGTTCCTTCCTGCCGTGAAGGCAGCGGCCACCCCAGCACTCAATGAGATGCTGTTCTCCTCAGTGAGACAGTTTCATGGGAGAAAAATGGGTTTTAATAAAGCAGCTGTCCATCAGAAGGAAAATGACTGCTGCCATGGAAGTGTTGGTCTTTAATACCTTCTGAAAAATACACATGCTAGCATGATTTACAGGGACTGCAAGCAGAAAGAGAACTGGCCTGAGGAAAGTACTGGGAAATAAACGACCTGCAGCAAGAGAAGGCTCAGAAATGAAAGATTCCTTTGTGAGCCTCACGTTGCAGAATGCAGCCTGGAAAGCACCCGGGGCTTCGGGGTTCTGGGCTACCCCCAAATCACAAAGCCAGAGGAGGAAACGAGTCCCGCCCTCGTCTCCGTGCACGCAAACTGAGCGCAGCGCCACAGCGCTCACATCCCCTCCGAGAGCAGGGCAGCAGGGCACCAGATGCTGCAGAGCACCGGAGGAACGCACGCAGCGCCCCATCGCGGTGCCACGCCGTGCGGCGCGGGGCTCGGCGCAAGGTGCAGCACGAGCAGTGCCTGCTCTTCCCTTGCAGTAATTACTCTTCATTTGCTGACCCGCTGCTTTTTCAGATTGCCATTAGCGATCAGCAGAGTGCTAAATTACGGCTGCTGTGTGCTCCCCACTGCCTCCTGCTTCGCTCTCTCCAAATCTCCAAGTCCCAGTTGGAGCTCAGGGGACTTGGCACTGCCCACCAGCACCGTGCCAAACTGCTTTGTCAGCTGGTGGTGACCCAACCCGGGGTGTCCCTATGGCATCACCTCGCTCTCCAGCAGCCTCACCTCTCCAGCACCGCCAGGAGATGGGAAGAAATGAAAGGCAAAGAGCAGGGCGACGGGGTGAGGAGAGGATGAGGAGCTGCCTTCCTCCCGGGGCCGCTGTGAGGGTACGGAGGCTGCTGGCACGCTCTGATGTTCCCAGCCCCAGGCTTTCCTCTCAGCTCAGCCAGCGAAAGGGTTAAGTTTAATTTATACTGATTTCTATTTAATATCATTCTCTCCCCGTAGGAGCCGGCAGCTGTGAGCTGATTGTACTCTCTCATTATGCAGTCTGTATCACTAATGGCCTGTGACAAAGGCATGCCATCTTCCAGGCCTTACCCCCGAGAGCCAATTAAACACACATACTCCCTTCCTGTTTGCGGCGCATTACAATGAAATTAAACTGAATTTCAAAATCATTTTCTCCTAAAGACATCTCTTTGCAATAATTAATGCATGCTATTCCTTTCCATCTGAAATATTCATCAGGAGTGTTGACTAAAAAAAATTTCTGAAGCTGATTGCCCCACACCCAGTGCTGTGCCCACGATGGGATGCCCAGCGGTGGCAAGAAACCACTGCTTCCTCATAAATGGATGATAGATAACACGGCAAAGAGGGCATCCCAAATCCAGCCCCGTGCTCCTGGGTTGGTGTACTGAGCAAAAAGGGAAATGGGAATGTTGGAACTGCTCATGTGTGAAGGTTGGGTGGGAATCAGCCCTCCCACCCCCCTTTGAGGCTTGTCATCCCATGTTACGAGCTCTCTGCCAGGCCCTGCTGCCCCAGCATAGCTTTGGGTAGAGGCAAAGCACTGTTGGCAGAGCATAACCAGATGTTTTCAAGACATTAGATAAAACCTACCAAGGATCCACCTGCAATACATGTGATTACTATTGGAATATTACCTTCTGGTGAAATCTGATTTGAAAGAATCAAACACCAGAGCTGTTCCCATCCCTGCAAACATCAAAACCGTTTCTCACTCACGGTCAGATAAGAAAGGCAGATCCCGAGGAAAAGAAACACTCCCTTTGAATTTCATAAACACAGCACATAACAATAAAGCCAGCCTCAGATTCAAAACAAAAGGCTTCTTTATTGGGAGCTCTCTTTATTCAGAGCTCTCTTTATTCGGAAGCCGCAGACTTTTCACTTACAACAAATTCAGAATGCAACGTTCTGGCAGTTCCAAAACCTCCTTCCTGACCTGCTCCTACCTCAAGGTCTCTGCCAGGGATTCCTCCCCAGAGAGCTCAGCTTCCCAGGCATTAGGAATGAAGAAGGGAAATCCCATGGAAACCTCCAATGCAGTGGCAGTTGCTGAGCCCCCCCCAGTCACACCCCCAGCCCATACAGGTCCAGCTTTGACACCAGCGGTGGATGAGAGCAGAGCTGCCTCAGGGATGGGCATGCACTCCTGTGGTCACTGATGTGACACCTGCTTACCCTCAGCTCTATCACAGACTGCTTCCAGGCACTGAGGTGGCTGAGTCCCTCAAAGCACAGCCCTGCATATTGCATTTACAGCCAGCAACCCAAAGACGCTTCGCTCCTTGGCTCCAATGCAGGGCACCCGGTGAGGCCACATCCCATTCTCCACCCCCCTCCGGGGGCACAACCACAGCTCCTGCCCCCCTCCTCAGGATGCAGTACAGTACCTGTCCTGAACCATCCATCGGGTGTGAAAGCCTCTCTGGTTTCTTTGGGCCTGTTCCAGTACTCACGAAACACCGAGGAGCCACGGACCAGCAGCTCCCCTTCCTGCCCTTCCAGACCCGGAGTCACCTGGAACAGAGAAAGAGTGACTGCCTGCATGAAATGGCCGTGGGGTAGAAAGCTGCCCGTCAGTTCACAGCAGCCCCTGTCCCACCTCAGAACAGCCTTCCCTCCCTGCAGGTCTCCCCCATCCCCACCTGCTGCCCTGGAGCAGCACGGCTCACTGCATCCCACTGGGATTCTGCCTGCAAACTGCTGAGGATGGGAGCAGGAGGCAGAGGGACGAGGCACACTCCTGTGACTGTGCCATACTGCAGCCTGCTGTGTTGACAGAGAGGAAGCCTCACTTTCCCAAACTGTCAATCTGACACTGTTTTTTTTTTCCCAAGGAGGTGGCAGGAAACACCATCTGATTTGTTCTCAAGGACACACAGTTCCTTTGGGGCTCACGGCGAGGCAACGGTTTCAGCGCCAGCCTGGTGCCCTGCAGACCTGCACTGGCAGGTTTTCTATAGCAACAAAATGAAGATCCTGCTGCGATGGAAACAAGAGAGGTTACAGACCTGCCTGACACGGCACGGTGTCTCTCACCTCCTGCACGTTCATTGCTCTGCAGTTACAAGGATGCAAGCGGGCTGTGAGAGGAGGCACGGCTGCAGCACTGCTCCTGGCACTGCGTTAACCTTTGCAGGGAGAATGTGCAAAAACACTGCTGAGAGAGAAGGTCACTGCGAGCTGCTTGAGCACACTGCTCTGACTCTGTGCAGGGAGCACGCACTCAGCAGGAGCACTGAGCCACTCTGTGCTCAAGTTGCAGCAGCTCAGACACAGCTGGGATGCTGAAAAGTAGCAATGCAAGAAATGCAGCCACCAGGGAACACAGCAACAGCAATGCTGGAACAGCCAGCAGGATCACAGAGCAGGACAGACTTTGCTTTTGATGCAACCAAAGCTTCTCTAACAGAAAATGTTTAGAAAGATGCTTCCAGGGCACAGTTTTTTGTTTCCATGGACTTCTTCTTGATGTCCTGTCTTGCAGGATGTGCTGATCTGCACAAACAGCCCAAGCACTTTTACAGAATTGCCATTTCCTTCAATATCTCTGTGTGTCAGGAGCTGGGCTGAGCCCCCAGAACACTCATTGTGCCCTACCCCCACTGCCTGGGATACAAAGCCCATCACTGCCAACGAGGGAAGTTCAGTTGCACAGTGACGTGGTAAGGATGGTGCTGGACCACAAGTTCAGCTGCACATCACTCAGTGGGCAGCACAGACCTCAAACTCACCAGCAATACTTCCCCTGAGGGCAATCCCATCCCAGCCCCTTCCAGCAGCCCCCTGTGCCCCAGCTGGAGACAGCAGTTATCTGAATTCCCCTCACATCACAGCATTTTAATGACTTGTGCGAGCTCCAAAGCCAATCCCCAGAGCTATCAGGCTGCCTCTGACTCCACCGACAGGGCTTGGAGGGAAAGGCAGAGGTGAGTGCCCCAAGGACCCGCTGCAGCTGTCCTGCATTCCTCCACACCACCCCATCTGATGCCTCCTGCTTGTTGATGTGAGCACAACATAAATGGGCTGTGCTGAGAGCCCGGTGCCCGCTGTGCCCCCAGGAAGGGTACAGAAATAGGGCAGCCCTGGGCACTGATCCTGCCCTGCCTGCTGCTCCTCCTGCAAACCAAATCTTGAACGGGCTCCAAGCTTCCCGTCACATCAACTCGCATTTTGGCAGAGGCTCAACCCACATCTTATCTAGAGCAGTGCTCCTTGGCAGCAGGCACCTCCCTGTTGTGTCACTTAATGATGTTATGGCTGGCTTGCAAACTGTAAAACAGAAAGGCCGTGACGTTATCTTAATAGGATTCTGCTTGCTGAACTCCAAATGTCACCAGCGCTGCTCCCTGATGCAGCACAGAGGATGCAAAGCACCCCACTGAAAGCAGCTTGAGAACGGCATGCATTGAAACTCAGGGTTTGAGGCTTCTCTCCACTGCACCCAACCCCTGCTAGAGCCATACACAGGTAATGCAGTTGCTGCAGCAGCACACCTAGCTGTGTTTTTGCCTATCCCTATCAGATTGAACAGGCTGCCCAGGGAGGTGGTGGAGTCTCCTTCTCTGGAGATGTTCAAGACCTGCCTGGATGCCGACCTGTGCAACCTGCTGTAGGGAACCTGCTTTGGCAGGGGGTTGGACTCGATGAGCTCTGGAGCTCCCTTCCAACCCCTACAATTCTGTGATCTCAGAGGTACAACGTGTTGACACGCTGCAAGCAGCTGCTGAGAGCACACAGCCACTGACAGCACAGCCAATTCTCCACGTGCCATATCTGAATGCACCTTTCAACAGCTTTCATGCACTGGAGCAACCTGAACAGCAGCTCTGGTGCCCTGCAAGGCTGCTGCCTGGCAGCGCTCTGCTGCACGACGCACTCAGCGAGTCGAGGGACACCAGATGAGGTTCCATTTTCCACGCATGAAAAGAAGAGGGTTGTAATAAAGCCTCGGAAGGAATCACTGTGGGTGATGACACAGTGAGCATTTTGTCTGCTTCCAGGTTACCTCTCTCCGTGCAGGCGGTTTGTAAATCGCTGGGAATCCCCGCTTGGCACGCAGCCCTGCGATTTGTTCAGAGTGGCCATTTGTTTTCTTGTGGTCTCTGAGATGTGCCATCCCCCTGTCCTTGGGGAGCGGCAGGAGAGGTGTTTCTAATGGACTTTAATGGAATCAGCAGCTTTGATGGGGGCAAGCTGACAGCGGCGTGCCGTTCGCTGGGATGCGGGGAGACACTGCAAACGCCTGAGCAGGAATATTCAGAAGACAAAGAGTGGAAGCTGAAAGGCAAGGTTTGAGAGGAGAGGGAATGACATTTTGTTAGACCAGCAGAGCTGGGAGGGAGGCAGAGGAGCTGTTAGGAAAAGCAGCAGTTCACTCCGGGAGAGGCAGCGCAACGCCACAGCCACGGTCAGTGGGGAACATTTGACTTCTGGCAGCCCCTTCCTTACCCTCAAAAGAATTGCCTGGACCTCTTTCTGGGGCAGCACCACAGGCTCAGAGGCTGCAAATCAGAGCATCCTCTCTTAGGAGGGAGCCTACAAAGGGATGTCACACGGCTGTGAAGCAGAAGAGCAGCGCTGCCCAGATGGGGGGCTGGGACGGGGCAGCGCCCTTCGTGCCCTGCAGCTCTTGCACCATTCTCCTTCCACTTTTCTCCATTTGCCTCTTCCTTCCCCAGCGCTGCATGGGCTGGCACCAGTGCTGCTGCAACAAGGAAAAGCAAAATCCTTTACATCTGCAGAGAGGAAAAATGGTTTCTGCACCTCTGCCACGGCCGGTGCTGTGCGTCTCAGCTTGGAAACGCTTGGCACTTCTCCCCACCTTATAAATAAGTGATCACTGTAATCAAAAATAATTAAGCAACCCAGCCTTTTAAGTGACTAATAGAAGACAGTAATTGATACGTGTGAGGTTTATGGAAGTGACGGATCCCTGTTAGCAGTTCTCAGAGTTGTAACTCTGAGACAAACTCTGAAACAACCAAAAAGCAACCATACTAAGCATGGAACACCAAGGAACTTACAGCTCCCCGATCCCTGGCACCAGATTCCCATGCAGCCCAATTTCCCATGCACATTCATAATTAAAAGGTCCCTGCTAAGCTGCATGCTTGTGTAAAGGCATTATCCCTCCCGTAGCTCCGTGCCCTGCAGAAGGCAAGCAGGAGGCAATGCAGACAACAAGCAATTTTCCTCCTGCTGGAAAGAGGCACATTTCTGCTCCTCGGAGACAAGGTACAGAGAAAGGAAAAAGAAAACAATCCCAAAGCACCCAAACCCCAAGCCCAGACTGTAATCTACAAGGCCACACTTCACATCTGCTTTTGTAATGTTACCTCGTATAAAAAAAGGCTGGGAAAAACACAGTCAATTTACTTTTCATTTTGGAAGGTTGTAGATGTAAAAGCGGGGCAGCTGCACAGCTGGAAGGCTGGCTCTTACTTTCACAGAACCCAACCCTACACTTAACAGCAAATGCTGCTCCACCAAAACCAAAAGTGCTTGTCGATATTTTTAGGCAGCGCTGATTTTTAGAAGTTCCCAGGCTGATTAACTCCAGCTGATCCCAAAAGAACCACAGAAAGAACCCACATTTGGGGACGGTCAGTCCCCCCCGTAGCCCATCCACGGACCCTAACTTCTTGATTTCTATGATCTCCATAAACCAGCAGTGTCACACACTTCCTGGAATGCCAGCAGCCCTCTGCTGCTCTTGTTTGGAAGCCTCAGAGGTAACAAATGAGGCGAGATGTCAGCACATCTCCCGCTCCCCCAGCATTGCAGGAGGACCCCCAGCGCGCACTGGGAGCGCAGAGAGGCAGGCAGAGCGCAGGCAAGGATTCAATTAGCATCCCACCTTCGGTTCATTTGCCATAAGCCTCACTTAAAAGTCGAGGTCAGAGGGGCTGCTCTGTGCTCTGACTGCAGATGCTGCCCGGAGCCTCTAATTGCTTCCTGCTGTGAACCCACCCCAGGCAGCGCTGCCTCCTCTCCTTGGCTGTGAGCTGCCTGGGGCAGGCGCCGCTCCTTTGCCTCCCAGCTCTGTGCCTCAGCATCTCCTCCTTGGGAAGCACCTCCAAGACGTGCTGCAGCCTCCAGCACCCCGAGGGGGAACTGATGGGATGAGACAGAATCGTAGCATGATTTGAGTTGGAAGGGACCTCCATCTGATCCAACTCCCCTGCAGTGAGCAGGGACACCCACGGCTGCTTCGTGTGCTGCACAGAGAGGGGATGAAATCTACCTCAGCCACCATGGGAACAGAAAGGAATCCATCTCTTGGAGAACTGAAGCCTGGTCAAGGGGACCACGGATGGCTATCCCAAGGCAGGGAGAAGTCCAGGGTGAAGCCCTTGCCCTGCGAAGGATGGGAGATGAAAATGGGAAGGTGGGGGATGAAAGCCTGAACTGATAATAAAGAGATTAATAGATAGCTTGAGGGTGCTGTGACAAAGGTCAGCCCAAAGGAAGCACTGGTGGAAAGAGGTTGTTCTTGACAGATGGACTCAACGTGAACGTGCAAGGAAACAGCCAAGCAGGCTCCTGGGAGCTGCCTCTGTGATAAGAACACCTTTCAGCTGGGGAACACTGGGATGCGATGCTAATGTAATCTCTGCCTCCACCTTTACACCTAGGAAAGAGAAAAATACAGCTACGGCCACCAATCAAACACCAGACAGAAAGAATAAAGGTGTATAAATACCAATGAGAACGCAGTCAGTGACTGTGCTGACTGAGAAACAGCCCAAAAGCCCACTGAGGTCATCCAACCCAGCTATCAGCCCATCCCCACCGTGCCCAGCAACCAGCTAAAGGAAGACCTTTCCTGGCAGCCCGTTCTGGGCAGGTCCCAGCAGAGCAGGAGCGAGGTGCAGCACTCCCAGTGCCCTGTGCCTGCAGCACACAGGGCGAGGAGCTGGCAGCCCCACGGTGCAGCACGCTGCTGGCAGATGGCAGAGCCACGGGGGGCACGGGCAGGCGGGCAGGAGGGGCTGGTGGCTGCGGGGAGGGACGGCCGCCTCCGAGCCGCTTCCCGTCCAGGACGACAGCTTGCATATGGATAAACAACGAGATAATTACAACCTCGAAGGGAGGGGAGAAAAGCCCATGGCTGCAGCGTCCTCCTGCTGCCAGCTCCTGCAGCCCACCACCCTGCACGCTTCTCTCCACAGCCTCATCGCAGAGCAAATTGCTGGCCATAAAAAGCCCTGGCTAGAGTGCTGCGTTAGGTACAGCTGTGAAACCGTTTATCTATTGATAGACCCCCATTGTCAGGGAGTGGGGTTTGGCTTTCGTGCGAATCTGGGAAAGCAGCAAAAAAAAAAAAGAAAAAAAGAAAGAAAGCCAACAAAAATGACAGCCCAAAAACCTCACAACCAACAAACAAACAAACAGAGAGAAAGAGAGAGAGAGACAATACCCAGCAGCTCCCTGGGCTTGCAGGCCGCTGCCAGCTGGGAAGCTGAGCGTATGAAATATGCATCGCACCGAACAAAGCAAACCAAACTGCTCGGTGCTGGAAAGCTGTAACCCTTTCCTGCACACACGGGAAGCAGGAGGTGCTCAGACTGAGCTGGGCTGCCAAAACATCACAGAAAGGGGTGGAAAGACAGAGCACCTGGGGGGGTAAGGAGAAGCCTTGCTGCATGCAGGCACTCTGTGATTCCATGTGCTGAGCTGTGAGGTCAGGCGATTTGGTGGGCAGGTTGGAGGTTTGGGAGATGCTTCTTGCATGGCCTGGAGCAGCCCACGTCCACTTATACCACTTCTGGTTCTCTGGGAAGCATTGAGGACAGCATCTGTCCAGGGTCTCAATTCACATCACTGTGCTCAGGAGAAGGTGCAGCAACAATTAGCAAGGAGAATGCATGGGAAGCACCTGGAACACCTGGGTGAGCTGGGAGTCAGAAAGCACAGGGCTCCTAGAGCTGCAAGGGGAGCGTGTGCATGAAAGGAATCCAATCAAGGGACAGGGGGGAAATGAAGAGAGGAATGAAGAGATCCAGCAAACTTTCAGCTAAGTACATTATTGATCTTCAGGGCGTGCCAGAAACCAGCTCTGCAAATTGCATTAGTCCCCTGCTGCAGGCTCACAGTTACTGGATGGTGACGCAGAAATGCTCCCACCACACACACTCCCTTATTTCAGCAGTGCTATGGGACTGGGACTGGCCCAGATGTCACCAAGTGTCCCCAAGCTGCTGTCTGCAGGGTGCACAAATGCATCCAAAGGGTGAAAATGCAAAAGCAAACAGAACCCCCCAGCAGCGAGAGGGAGAAAGGTGGTATTGGGAGGGAGCTACTGGCTGGGGAACAGCCTGTTGTCAGGAGGGAGCAGGAGGGGAAGGCAGTGACCTTGCAAGGCTCTCTGCAGCTCAGCAAATCATCTCCATGGCAGAAAGGGAGGGCATTGGTGAGTGGCAGCCAAGCCAAGGTGTGAATGCCTCGCAGATGGCCCTGACAACGTGGTCACCTCTCAAGAACAGAGGGATGCAGTGCAGAGAAGTGGGGAGCTGAGCTCTGTGCAGGGTGCTTAGGTCCTGCAGCACAGCCACTCAGTGCTGGTGCTTTCGTTATTATCAGTGCAGCAGTGCAGATGTGCACCACACTGTGTGTGTATGGAGAGAGGTCCCTGCCCTGACAGCCATATAACCAAAGCAGACGGCAGGCGTTTATTGCTGCCAGGAGGTGTTTATTTCCTACAGGGGAACCAGCAAGCCACGATGTGACATTTGGTAATTTTTCACAGCGTCAACACCAAACTGTGCAGAAATGCCCAGAGAAGTGATGGGGCCTTGGATGCACTTATCGCACCCAGGACAGCTGCACCATGTCCTGCTGTCACCTTCCTCCCTCCCTCAGGATCCCTCAGCCTTGACACTCCCACACCACAGCTTCCATAACCTTGAACTACAGAGCTTGAAGTCTCAGTGCCCTCCTGTGAGGGAGGCGAGGAAATATTTACCGATCCCTTCCCACAAGCCAGGGGGCACGGGCAAAGAAAATGGGATGTGGGGCTGTTCGGTGGCACAGGCAGGAGGACAGGGCACCAAACAAGGACAGCCCCAGTGCCACGGAGCTCATTTCTGTGCTGAAACCCAGCCAGATGGCTCTTGGGCTGCTGAGTGCTCAGACGGTGTCCTCCTCGTGTTAAATAAATGCCACTGCTGCACTCCCCCTGCTATGAATTATTAACCAGGCAGGCATGCAGTGTGTGCCAGCAGCAGCAGCTCGGGGCAGGAAGGGCATCAGGTGGGGCTGTGTGAGTGTGACTGCAGGTGTGAGCACTGACACCAGCCCGTCACTCGCAGGCACTGTGCCAGCAGCAGAGCTGTGCTGTGCCACAACTGCTGACACCGCTGCCCGCAGCCCTTGTGCCTCAGCCCGCACCTCCCAGCCCACACAGGGGGTTGCTGTCTCTCAGATGATGTGTGGGAGGACCACATTCATGGGGTCCATAATGCACTGTGGGCAGGCTGAGCCATAAAATGAATGCGAGAGAGAATCACGTGGCACTAAGCTAAGCTCCTGGGAATAACAGTGCCACCCCAGCCCTGATCCCCGGGGCTTCAGAGGGCTCTGAGAGTGAACGAAGCAGCAGAAACTCAGCTGAGTGCTACCTGTGTGCCGTGCTCATCTCCCTGAGCGTGGATGGTGTAGGAACGGCCACCACCTCTCACCTTCTCGGTGGCAATGCGCACCTCCACCCCGGGCAGTGGGGTTCCAACAGAACCTAGGAAGGAAAGGGAACACGACTGAAACAGTGGGCAGCAAGAAGCCACGGATGCAGCAGATACAGATCCAGCAGAGCAGCTGCTTTTCTCTTCTCTCAGTGGCATCTGCAGACTGTGCTGGCGCTGAAGAAGCTCCTTGCAGGGGGGTTACCCTTCAGGAAGGCTTTGATCACGTCCTGTGTCTGCATGCAAATGTCACTGTGCCATATTCCATTCGCTGAGCAGGCAGTGCTGGAAATGCCTGGGAAAACAAATGTGTCTGCAGCCCTGAGCAGTCTCCCTTGGACGGCCTTTGAAGGCACTGGGACAGCTTCGTGGCACAGTAATGAAGCTGTTTTGCACCATGAAACCTACATGAAGATGTGAAAAGAAGGAGCACAATGATTGCTACAGCGGCTCACTGCTTCTCTGTAGCTTGAACCTGACAGAGAAGGCAAAGGCTTACCAGTGTCAGCATTGCAAGAGATTATCTCAGTTTTATGAGACATCAATACCCTGTACACAAAGCATCAGAGGAGAAAAGCAGAGATCAAAACCACAACATTCTTCCCCAGGTTTCAATTTTCAAAGCCAGGCAATGTGGCACAGTGTCACCAACAACAGCAATTAAGCTCCATGACAGTCCTGCTGCCAAGAGCCCCCACACCTGCAGCACCCCCATCCCACGGTTTAATGCACACCCCTTGCAGTAAGCAGAAGGCACAGAGGAAGGGCAGCTTTGCTCCTGTGACCTCAGCCTGCTGGGGGGCTCCAGGCACAGCAGCAAGCAGGGCACTGGGGCATCTGCTGGCTCAGCGGGTTCCCTGCATCTCAGTGGCACATGACAGCTCTCAGCACAAGATGAGGCTCATGGCTCTCGTCCCCTTGAGCAGGGAGCTGCCAGCATGCAGACCTGCATCGGGCACAGAGCAACCTGTGGCTTGGGAAGGCTGGCAGGTTGCACTGGTAAGTCTGCTCTTTATTTTGAGCTGATTGATTTTTCCACCTGGAGAGCATCCAGTCACTGTGCTGGTGGTGCTTTCTAATTGGGAAGTCCTTACAGTGGGGGTGTGCAGGACCAGGAGCCTTCCCCATTATCTGGAATTCAGGGGTTTGAGTTCAAGGTGCAATTTCCCGGTCTCACTCTCATTCTCCTAGCCAAGCCCTGGAGGTCTGGTACCTGTGACACCACGATTTGGTGCCTGCTACATTGGTCAGTTGCCATGGAAATCAATATGTCATGGTAGCTCAGATTTATGGCATCCCTGCAGGATCAGCTAAGAGCAGATGGGCTACGAGGGAGTGAGATTTTATTGCAGCAAAACTACCCTAACAATTAACAAATCTGGCAAGAAATAAACAGAAAGCTACGTGGCAGGTCCGTGACATGTGTCTGTTCAGCTTGAGACTGCCTTTGGCATTTAGATCAGCTACTGCAGGCAGCCAGGTCCTTCTCCTGCCACAGGGCTGCTCTGACACAGCCCAACTCACTGCCAGAAGCCCAGGACAGGGGCCTGCAGCAGAGCAGGAGGGAGAGGTGTGCTCTGCTCTTCTCACTAGGAGCTGAGGAGCCGCTGAGCTGCCAGGGAGAGGTATTTATATATTTTCAGCAGAGTTTTGTACCTGCCACGAGACTCCAAGAGTACTCAAAGGAAGCTATAAATCACGGAATACAAGCCAAATGTTTGCACATCAAGCTTGCCAAGGCCACCTTCTAGAATTCTACGGGAACGTTTTCTCCCGTGTGAAAAATATCTGGTGCTGATAGCCCCAAACCTGGCTGAAAGACACGGCAAGAGACGGCAGGCAGACACTGCGAGTAAATGAAGCCTCACAGAGCTCAGGGAAGGGAGCAGCAGGCAGCCCAGTGAGCTGCCACAGAGTCCCACAGGTTTGCCAGCCCTGGAAGCCTTTGCATTAAGATCAGATCAATGCTTTCTTGGAAGATGCTCCTTTGCTGCATGCGAACTGCCAGCCTCAGTGCAGGACACAGCAGACTGAGCCATGGGCAGCAGCACCGAATGACAGCGGTCACTTCTGGTCTCAGCCTTTGAGAACGAAATATCAAACAGCAACACAATGCCTCCAAACAGATAGGAAGACAAGCATTTGGCTAAAGCAGAACCAACATGTAAAATCAGACCCACATGGGGAGCCGTGTCCTTATGTTCAGCCTGGAAGTTTTTTGGCATTTCAAAAGAATGATAAACCTGCAAATGGAAATCTGTAAAGGCTGAAAACGCTCCCAGCATTGATCAGAGCTACAGGGGGCTGTCAGCACTGATACAATTTGTGCACAGGCTATGACTAGAGCTCCTCAGGCCTGGGTGATGTGTTAAAACACACATCATGACGTGTTAAGACACACACCATGTATGTACCATGATGTGTTAAGACACGCCACGCCAACTCCAGACCTCGGTGGTTGGCTGTGCAGGTTGCAAAGGCACAGCACCAGAATCACAGAATGGCTTGCATTGAAAGTGACCTCTAAAGGCCACCTGGCTCCACTCCCTGCAATGAAAAGGGACACCCACAGCTCCATCAGTGCTCAGAGCCCCTCCAGGCTGACCCTGGGGTTCTGCAGAGAGGGGATCTGAGTCCCAAATCAGCTGTCATCAGAAGGGAGTCAAAACTCAGCACAGCCCACCTCTCAGAAGTGGAACCAGGAGCACTCCCTGCTCTTTCCCCTCCCTGCGCCCTTTCAGCTCTTCCCAGTCCTCACACTCCAGGATGCTCAGCAAAGCTGGCAGCACGTTCACACTGTCAGGCTGCAGTCAGGAAGGACTGACACCATTATTCTTCCTCACCGGCTCTCCTCTGTTTAAAAAAGTTGTCAGCTCTTCCCAGATAAATTTAATTGGCCCTGCGGTCTGTGTCCTCTGGTATCTGGGGACCTTGATGCTGTTATGTGCAGTGCTGTCCTGGGAGAATTGAAACAGGCCAACGATAAGGCACTCAGCGATCTCACTGTCAACAATACACCGAGTCCCTGCTGTAGGAGCTATTAGCTGCCTCTGATCTAAACCTCCAATTAAAGTGGTGATTAGGCCCAGTGAGGCATTCTCCAGCCATGAATTATTCATCTCCCTTCACAGTAACAGCACCAGGGGGATTAGAATGAGAGCTGGTGAAAACAGAGGCATTTTAAGCAGGGTTTTAACCATATACAAGCAAACATTTATCTTTCAAATCTTTCATCTTTTCTTCTTTAGGAAAGGAGAACTCCCCCCTTTCCCTGGCCTTCTGGATCTGCGCCCTATGGGGCAGTGCCACAGCACCAAGGACACCTGTTGGACATGGAGGGCTCTGCCCTTCCCCAGCCCCACCAGGGGTGAAGGAGGGCAGGACAACCCCAGCACCTCTCCTCAGAGGCAGAAGGAAGGTCGTGAAGCGGCACAGCAGGATGTGTGCTGCTTCTGCTCTGAGAGAAACCCGCTGGCAGCTGTGAGGGCTCTTGGGTTCACCTCCCCAAGGGAACCTGCAATTTGAAGGCTGGGATGGATCACTTCTGGGACAGACACATTCCCTCTTTGGAGCTTTCCAGTGGCGAGGAATGTTACTGAGAGAAACGTCTGAAGTCACGGAGCCAAAAAGTCACAGAATGGCTTGGCTTGGAAGGGTCCTTAAAGCTCATCCAGTTCCAACCCCTGCTGTGGGTTGCCAACCCCTACCTCAGGCACCAAAGTCATCCCAGTCAACCTCAATATCTGCTGCTTCAGCTCTGGCCATGCCCAGCAAGCTCTTGCATTATGTTTAACACACTGATGCCTGCTGAGGCCCCATCTCCACCATCTCTTTATGAGTATCCTGCAACCACAGGGCTCTTCCAGCACAGCCCTTGCTGCCTGGCCATGCTCGATGCAACTCTTTTGTGCTAAAATAAAGCTGTGGCCAGCAAGTGGGTCTGCTGTCAGCTACTGCCTCGCATCTGTCCCCAGAACACTGTTTTGCAGGAAGCTCACTGCTCCTCCTGCCTCAGCCACTGCTGCATTTCTCAGCTGACTCATTCATGGTGGATACTGCTGTACCTGGTGACCTTACATCCCAGCCTCTAATAGGGTACTATATCAAAAGCTTTTCACAGCTCCAGTAAATTATGCCTCAGCTGCACCCATCTGCTTCCCAACTGACACTTCCTGAAATAAATTAATCAAGCCTATTCAATCATAGCTCTCTGTCTGTAAGGTTCCTGGCTGATCCACACCTTTGTGAGATTCTTCTCTCTCCTTTCGTGGGGCTGCAGTGAGCCCCAGCTCAGTGGCTGTGTGACAGACACTTAGCCTTTATCCCAGCTCCTCTGCTCGCAGCTGTATGAGATTATTTGTCCCCATGTCCCCTACAGACCTGGTAATGCCAGAGGCTACACACAGCCTCTGCTCAAGAGCACGTGGACACATCTCTGGAATTAAAACTGCCTTTCCTGGTGTCCATTTCTGCCTTATCCACACAGCCTTTATGTCTCCAGGGAAATTGAGAGCCTCCACTCATTTCCCCTACAAAAGATGAAATAAAAAGCAAATATAACAAGGCTGCTGTGATATCCAGATGACCTCAAGCCACCATCCTACACCTTGGGGCTCACAGAGAGCTCAAGCTCATGCAGGTGGGAATTGAGTTTCCCTTCTCCAGCATGCAAGCAAGCACTGGCCAGACTGGGGGAATCACAACTACACTGCAGAAGTTAACTGCACTTTGTGTTCTGCACTGCCCCCAAGCTGTTCTCAGTTTCAGGAGCCAATGCTGGGGGAAGCTGTGGCTTCTCCTCACCCTGTGCAATCCCTTCAAGGGCACAGCTGCTACAACCAGCAGGACTGGGGTGTGAGGGGAAGCCACAAGGCACAGGACAGTCCCACCTGGGTAACAACGGTCCCCAGGAGACCAGAGACCAAAATGATGCATATGGTGCCATGCATGTGCAGACAGCATGTGGGGAGGAGAAGGTGGCATAGTGGTGGGCTGGGTTGCTTGTCAGACAGATGGCCACGTTTATAACCAAAGGGAGGGTGGGGGCATTTGATATTTTTAATGTTTGAGATCAATTTATTTCTAGGTTACATAAAACCACAGATATTGAGAGGAGTCACAAAGCATAGCTACGAGAAGTGAGGGAAGACAAGGAGAGAACAGAGCCAGAGCATACGACGAGGTGTGACAATTTCTAACTCCTGAGGAGTCAAGAGAGTTGCACTAAAATAAGAGTGAACAGACACCCTATTTTAAATGTTCAGTACTGACTGACGGGACACGAGCTGCTCCGTGGAGAGCCCTATGTCAACATCCTATGCAAATACAACTTCACAAAGCAGAAGCTGAAGATGCCATCCCAGCACAGTGTTTGAACTCATTAAGACTTTGGAAATCATCAAGCAGAGTACATTGTGTGTATTCTGCCTCCAGGACAGACCTGGCCTAGCTGGGTTGGTGTGTATCAGTGCAAGCTCTGCACACACACTCGTGGCTTGTCCTGTCTTCCCAATGCCAGTTCCTCTACCAGCATCGTTGCTCACAACACAGTCTTCTCCCCAGTTCTGACAAACAGTGATGAGATGTGTGTTCTCTGTGGTGAGAATAAACAAGAATGCTTGAAAGCAAAACACCTCTGATTGGTGTCACCTTCTCCAGACTCCTACCTGGGACACGGACTCCATGCAGAGGGTTGGAAAGTGCCATCCCAATCTCTGTCATCCCATACCTCTCCAGCAAAGTGTGCCCAGTGATGGCCTTCCACTTCTTCAGGACAGGCGCAGGCAGGGCTGCAGAGCCTGACACCATCAACCTGCACATGGAAAACCATATAAGAAAGCATCTAAGAAGTTTTCATTCCAACAAAACGTTATGTAAAGCCTGCATGTATGTAAAACCCTACAAGACCCAAAAGCCTTCAGCCAGTATCCAAGATATTCCTCACGCAGAAGAGATTCTCTGTCTAATAGGGGGGTCTAAGTTAAGACAGGATGGCCTCCTAAAAGAGATTTTGCAGCACAAGCAGCAGCATCTGTAGGGATCTGTGGGCTGCAGGCTGAAGTTCTCAGTCTTGTATCTTGTAGGGTGACACGTATAATAAGCAGGCAGACCCCTTCTGGCTTTACCACGCAAGAGCAGCTCATAATTAAATAATGTCACCCCTGTTCTTGTCACAGAGATCCCACAGCACTACAACCTGCCCGGTGGTGAGGAGGTGAACTCCAAAAGAAAACTTGGTGCAACAGCCACAGCAGCCCCTGCCTGGTGCAGAGCTGGGGACAGCAGGACGTGCAGTACCCACCTACCTGATGTTCTCCTGGCAAAAGGCACGCACAAAGTCCTGCACTTGGGGCTGAGAGAAATGCTCATCGTAGTATTCTATCAGCTTGGCATAGATGGTGGGCACTGCCATGAAGACGTTGACACGGGGAGCCTGGGAGCTCAAGAACTTCTTCCAAACCTAGGAAAGAGGCACCATGTATGCACCATGTACGTATATACCCAGATATTAAGAGTAGAGGGAAGTGATGGTCTGCACTGTCACTGCCAACTTCCCAGCTTTTTCTCAGCAAGGGATCACCCATCACTCTCACACTCAATGATCACAAGATGCAAATGGCACGTTTTGGTACAGCCAAACTTGCTGATGAAGAGTGCCCAGGGCAGAAGAAGTGAATTCTGTGAGCATACAGAGCTCTTCAAAGGCCACGCAAAGCTGCCAGCTTTCCAGAGAGGAAAGACAGAGTCACACACAAGCAAATAGGAGCCCATGGACTCAAAGCTTTGAGGATCCATCAACTGAACCAAAGTCCAGCAGCTGGCTCTGCTGGAGAGGAATGAGTGACCCCAGACACTGCACTGGCTGAGCAGCTCCACTTGGGAGCAGATAGCAACAAGCAGACATACATATTGAAATTAGAGCCATTTCTTCCACACTCTTCCCTCCAGGTGAGCTCTCCCCAAGGCAGGAAGGATACAAAGCCATCAATAAATAAATGGCTCTGGCCCACTCAGCTCCGGTGACGGCCACCTCTCTCTCTCCTTTCTCCCTGCCCTGTTGTTGACAAATGTATTTCCTAACAGCTCCTGACACTGCTCGCCTCCCCTCCCTCCCTCCCAGCACACGCTCAGCTGCACACAGGCGCGTGCGGTGGTGAAAAAAAAAGCATGAATTGATTGGAGGTGAACAAGTGATTCTCCTTCATGCTGTCACCCCGGGTGCTGCTGTGTGCGCTGCCCCTTTCCCCTCCGTCCTGCTCGCTCGGGCTCCATTTCATTACTTTCTACTTCACTGCACCAGCACCACCTCTCCCTGCCGGCTCTCACTTGGCTGCTTCAGAACAATCAGCCCTTAGAAAACCCCGTCGGCGCCGCGTTGTTCTTAATGCAGCCCTACACATCCAACAGAAGCAGTGTCCCACCCAAGGGATGCACACATTGGGAAGCCACCAGGCGTGGGGTTGGGACCTAAGGACACCCCCAGAGCCATGGCAGCTGGGACACGATTACTGTGAGCCCCTGTGGGCACTGAGAGGAGCAGAAAAGGAACGCAGTGTGTCTGCAATGACCAACAACACAGCCATGCCCTGACACTGCAGGCACCCCTGTCAGCACGAAGCCCTGAATGAAGGCAGAACAGGCAAAATTGCATCGAGGAGGATTTGACCCCTACTATATGTCTCCCAACCTCTCTCCCCAAAGGTCTTTTTCTCTTCAGCCTCACAGCATTTTTCCCATTTGAGGCAGCAGCACAGAGAGAGATCTCCAAAGCCAGGGATCTGCTCCTCTCCCCCTGGTGCTCCATCGAGCCATTGCCTTGGGCAGGGGAACAGGTGACAGCAAGCAGGCACCGGGCCTGTGCCAAAGAACTGATGGGAGACAGACGTTTGGAGCTGCTCGATCCTCGCCGTGTGATTTGCCTGCAGAAGCCCGGAGCAGCTGTGGGGAGCACGGGCAGACTTCCAGTCTGACTGGCTGTGCGGCAGATTTATTTTCACATGCATTTGGATTAAAAAACAACAACAACAACAAAGCAAACAAACACCCGACGCCATCGCTCCAAAACACAGCTCTCTGCTGCACCCCAGGATCCCCCTGTCCTCGCACATCTGCTCAGCTCCTGCTCCAGATAAAACCCTTTGTGCCACCATCCCGGCCATGGGAGCAGCTCTGTGTCAGCCCGGCTCGCCCCAGCAGCAGCCCCTTCCCAAAGATAAGCAGCTGCCTTTGGATGCGTGCCACCAGCCGCTGCTGGGCCGATCTGCTGACAGCCAAACATCCCCACCTGTTCTGCTGCTGCTCAGCCAAATCTGGATCCCGACCATGTGTTGTAGCAGCGCTAAGCACCGAGCTGCGGCACAAGGCTGGCAGCCCCCAGCTCTCTGCAGACCCACAGGCGTCCAGAGGGCTTGTTGCTGCCCAGCCAGCTGAAACAGCTAGTGCTGCTTTATAACTAGAACTTCATGGTTTAAGAGAAGGATCTGGGAAAGCCTCATTACCTGGGACTAATCGATCAAGCCGGGGACTTGGCTGGCCTCCAGCTAGGGGCCAGCTTTGCCCTTCCCACACACAGCATCCTCTGACACCGTCAGGTTTAGAGCACTGAGATCCATCTCTCCCTCTCCGTTACCCGACGTGTCACTGTCACCACATCAATCACCTGCAGACAGGATATTGGCAGCCCACTGTTTCTTTTTCTTTTGCTCACCTGAGACCTCTGTCACAAATGCACCCCCTGCTCTGCCTGCCTGCAGGGAGCCCAGAGATGCCATCACCCACCAGCCTGGCTCTGGGGATGTTCAGTGGGGCACAGCCCTCTGGCTGAAACACTGAGCCTTTAAATCATCACTATAGTGCAAAGCATAGGAAAGTACCAGTCTTTAGATGGAATACATTCAGGAGATGGCGTGGAGTGGACCAGAACTTCATTTAAAATGAACAAGGGCTTGAATCAAACTGTTTCTAGCTGCAAGAACACAAGAATGGGTACAGCTTCCCATCAGCAATGATGGCAGCAAAAGCCCAGGGCAGGCACACAGCACTGCTGGCTTACAGGACAGGCTGCCTGAGCCAGCAAAGCAGAAGACCTTCTGTTCCCAAGAGCCCTCTGACATTCCTGATTTTCTTCCCCTCCCACTGCACTAAAGCGTATCTGGGCAATTCCATGGGCTGGCCGGTGGGATTTTGCCAGCAGGAAATGAGAGGGAAAAAAAAGAGAGAGAGAGAGAGAGAGGAAAAAATGACACCAGAGGGTCTAAAACAATCCCAGTGAGGCCAAGCTGCAAGATTTTCCCACGTATTTCTTACAGCATGCAGATGGCACGGTGGTGAATGAGGCAGGAGGAACACACAAGCTGCTCCCATAGATTGTCCTTCCCTGCAGCAGCCTCCCCAGCCTGCATCCAGAACTGCTAACATCACCTGAAGGAAGGGATGCAGCACAGAGAAGAAAAGGCAGCAATTTTTCCTTCCTTAACAGAGCCTTTGCCCTCAGAGGGAAACGTGTGATGGTATAAAGCAGACAGAAACCAGCACATCTATCAGTACCTGGGCACCTTCTGAAGCAGAGGAAGGGGAAGGTGGCAGTGGCGATTTGTATGCTAAGTCCAGGCAGCCTTTGCCTGATGCAAGGCTCCAAAAGGAGCCAGAAGAGACGTGGGCAAAAATGCCTAAAAGCTGAAAGGAAAGCGAAAATCAGCATGGATTTTCCCATTAAACCCAAACAGATAATAGACGACCTGTACCGCTACCTCTATTGACAGACACAACAGCTCCTCTCTCCCTTATAAAATTATGGTATCATTTTCAGTGGTTATTGAATTTATATATATTTTTTAAACCTTTTCAGCAGCAACAATACCTCTAATGCAAGGTTAAATCATCCTTTTACTTCTCCTTTTGATCCAGGAGCTGGCTTTGTGTTGCGCATCGATCTCTGCCGTGCAGGTAGCGCTGCCCGCCGATCTGTGTGAGAGCAACAGTGGCTGCAGCCAAACAGAGCTGCTGCTGGGGAGCAGCATGCACAAAAGGAAACAGTCCTCTCTTCAAAGGGAAACCAGGCCCTCGGTGGCTTCGCCTCGTGTGTGTTGCAACCCCAAACTGCTTGTGCTCCACGCGACTCGGGTTTTAATCATTTATTCATCAGTGCAGTTTGATGGCCCCTCTCTATTCCAGGCTGAAGCTTTTAAACCCTTCCTGTGCTGCAGGCATACTGAAAGGAGCAAGTGCCTTCCCTGGGAGCCAGGAATATAAGTAAATATGACAGGCTCCGGTTCCATCTCTTCTTTATCCCCACACACATGAAAAGACATTACTCCCGAGCAGATGCTGAGGACAGACGGCAGAGCTGGGGAGACAGGAAGAAAAACACTAACTTTTGAAAGCCAGGTCTGTGAGAAGTGATCAAACACAACCCATTCAGCAGCGACCTGCTCCTCCCTCCACCGCCTCCTCTTTGAGCCTGGAGCAGAATGAAAAGAGGAGTGCCTTGCTCCAGCTGAAACAGTATGGGACAGGCCATCCCAGCACACCGCCCTTTTGGTGCTTGGTTGTTGCAGATCACAACCCTGTGTGCTTGCACTTGCTTTGATTATAAAAACAATGCCTAAATCACCGAGGCTGGTGTCTGCAGAAGTGACAGATCATGGGGAGAGGCTCAGGACCACGGTGCATGCTCTTCCTCCCTGCAGGCAACCATGCTCCTGTGCCATGGGACCTCACAAGGCCACCAAACAGAGGCACAATGCAGCAGCACCCGGCCCTCACCTTGCTGTAAAACATTTTTAGAAGGTACAAACCTTAGAGACACCTTAGAGTCAGCCACAGTGACTGTGGCACCAAAACTACCTTAGGGTGACAAATCTGCATCTCAACATGCTTACTGACAAAGTGCCTGCAGGGCAGAGACACGGCCATCACTCTGCAGGCAGGGCACCGCAGCTCAGGACCTGGAGAGCCAAAGGGGCAGCACGGACCACAGCGAGTTCAGATTCCTAAAACTTTCCTCCATCCCCCCTGCTGAAGAGCTACCAGGATCTGACCTTGTGTTGAATGCAACCAGCTGACAGCCTTTCTCAACTGAACATTCATCCCTTAAGCATTTGCCCCCTCCTGTCCAGGCGGGAGCAGCAGTGCCCCAAGGCAAGACAAGCAGTTCTCACTGTTCAAACTCAGAATGAACCCACATTGGCCAAAAACCTCAGCAGGCAGTGGGCTCAGGGTGCCCTGACCCTGTAAGTGTGGGTTCAGAAGTCACTGGGAAATGCTGCTGCCTGCATGCAGCTGGAGAAGCATGCAGCCTGGAAGCAAGCTCTGCCAGGAGGGCCACAAAGGGATCCTTCGGCTGCAGCTCGCTCTGACTTCAAAGCACATTCTGCCCTCTCTGTTCTCACGCTCAGCTGAAAACAAAAATAACATCAGAGCTGCCCTCGCCCCACACAGCTGCTGGGAGGAACGAGCTCCCAGATGCCATTCTGCCCACTGTGCATGCCCACAGCAGCACGGAGATGTCACTGTGCTCAGAGCTGCCCCTTCCAGGCAGTGAAGCACTCTTGCAGTGCTGGGTGCTGCTCTCAAGGCCCCCAGGGCAGGCAGCAGCTGGGGGGGCTCCCAGCATCACACTGAGCCCACGCAGTGGGGATTTGCACAGCGTGGATGAACTGACTGTGCTGCTGGGAAGTATGGGTCCATTTATAAAGCCTTTATTAATAAATGATTAATAGATGCAGCCATATTTTTTAATAACTTACAATAAAAAGATGCTGCAAAAAGCATAAGCGAGACAGCCTTAACAGATGGTGCTATAAAGTGAATTATAACATGTACAGTAGCTGGTGCAAAGTAATGGATGTCCTCATTTAATAAAAAGAATCTGATTTTATGCAGCAACTTTCACGCTTGAGGCAGCTCAATACACTTTAATGAGCCCCTGTGGCCTCAGCAATAGCTTGCACGCAGCCCTGGGCATCAGATGCTGTTTTGGTGAGAGAGTGGATGTTGGTCAGGACACGGAGTTTATTTTACAGCTTGATTTTTAACCTTTCCTTGGACAGTTCCCAAAAACAGACGGAAGGGTCTGAAAGATGCAGGGAGCGACAAGTCCTGGCCTGGGGCTCAGAGCGCCTTCTAACCAAGGGGAAAAAATAAAGAGCGCTGTTACCACCACTGGAACCAGACTGGCATCAGTATCTGACTATAAGGCACACCACAAATTATGTAATTTAATAAAGGCTGTAATAATAAAGTATTTATTTTGTATAATGAAGTGTTGGTGATTAGAAACCAAACACACATCGGGTATGCTGTTGCGGTTTCTCTTGAACCCGTGCCAGTATCACTCAAGGCTAAATATGCCTGCAGCAGGTTGAGAGTAAGTTCCCAGCCTTGTTTTGATCAGGCTGTCAAGTGTTTTAGCTGCCATCCGGGTTTCTTTATATCACACTATAATTGGCTGCTTTCTCAAGGTGCAACCAAGAGAAAAAGCGCAGAGCAAAACTCGGGCTCCTTTTGCAAAATCCTCCACTGAAACTCTGAAAGCTGATTTCAGTAGCAAAGGGTATTTTGTAAACAGCTGGCGAAAATAGACCGGAACTGAAAGGCAGCTTGCATTAAACTCCACAAGAAAGCCTTATTTACCCTCATGTGCTTTCTTTGTAGTGTCGATCAAACCACTTTCAGCTCCCAGGGGAGGCCCTCGGAAAAATAAAGGGAATAAAAAGAATAGAAAAGCAAAGGATGTCCTTCAGAGCCCAAGTGCACCTGAGAGCCCCCGGAACTTCACTCACGGCGCCGACCTCTGCCCAAGTCCAACCTCCAGGGTCAGTGCGATGGCCCCCGCGCTGTCCTCACTCGCCCTCACTGCTGGCTCCAGCAGAGGGCTTTGATCAGAGGCAGCAGGCAGGCACCCTGCCGCAGGCACCCGGACCCATCCTTCAATGTCAGCTCATTGATTTGCAGATGTCGGGAGAGAGCACAGAAAAACACATGGGTGTAAGGGACGATCAATCACCAGCGGCACAGGATGTGGAGAAACGCGCCCTCCAGAGGGCTTGGCTTTGCTTCCAGGCTATCGGCACGCTCCTCTGCTCCACACCAGCTGCCTCCTAGCAGTGCCTGGACAATGCTCTGAGCCCTAGCTGTGACGGGCATGCATCCCTGCTGCACCCCAAGCTGTGTGCACAGAACGCTCCGTGGGCTGACACCATTAAGATGGCAGCAGGTAAGCTGGGCAGCCACTATCAAGAAGATACCACCAGCTCCAGCTGCCAGGGCACCTCACTGCCCTTCCTCTACAACAGCATCCTTCTGGAGATGTGAATGCAGAGCTGCCCCTCTGTGATTCTGGGGCTTTTCCCCTCGGAAGAACCGGTGCTCAGCCACCAGTGGGGTTTTCAGGTGCCAGGGCCATCTTGAAACAAGAAGGGAAGTGCACATTTTCTGTGGTTGCCTCTCTGAGAAGCAGAAATAAGCAGCTAACAATCACATGGTCATCAGCTCACTCAGATCAGAGTCCAAACTCAGCTCCACAGCAGAGTCACAGCATCAAGGGGTTCCAGGTGCACCTTGTGCATTTGCTCTTTGTCCTTCCAGCATGACAAAGCTGCCTGCCACATGAATAAACACAGACACATAAAATGGCCTGTTCAGCCACAAAGCACAGGCTTGACAGCTCTCGTCACTTGCCCAAGGAGCTGCTCACTGACAAAGCAGGTCCCCTTTCTGCTATCAGGTGGCACCAGGACCTCAAATTGCTCACTTAATAGTGACGCTGCTCATCTCAGAGCAAACCAGAACTCCAGTGCCTCTCACACCACCACCGATATCAGGGGATGTAGATGAACAGTGCCAGCTCCCAGGAGCCAGTAACTGTAGAAGCTGTTCTACCTCACTGCTGGTTGTTGCTTTTCATCTTCTTTGCAAGTCAGCTACCTGCCACCACGGGCAAGGAACAAAACAGAAGCAGAGCACTCAGACTGGTGCCTCCTATCTTGGCCAGCAAACAGTACTAAATGCAGCAGAAACACACTTATAAATAAAGTTTCCCTCCTGTCACCTTTCCTGCAAAACTGCAAGCAGCTCTCAGTTTGCAAACTCTCACTTACATTGCTACGTCTAAACTGACAGATCTGTTTACACTTGTACCTCTACAGCTCAAGAGCACTGTTTCTATGCAAGTGACATGGATTAGTATTTCTCTTAGCCAGGCTGTAAGAAACTCTGAAGTCTGTGTTCTGTCATGTAATGTAACACAAAACATCGAGGACGTGGAAAATGCAAGCTACTAAAAATGAAATATCCAACCAGCAGTACAGCTTCAGGCAGCTCACTGCCAACGTGCAAGGGAAAAATCCAATATTTCCACCTTTCTCCTCGTACCAGAAAATGAACGACCCTTGTTCTGGGTGTGGATGATCTCAGTGGGTACCAAGAGTAGATCACCCCCAACAGGAGACCCCAACACTCCAAGGGGGAGCAGCAGTGTCCTGTTCACGTCTGTCACACTCAAACAAGTCGCAGCCTCCAGCAGAGCACACTTACCCCAACCTGAGCAGCGTCCAACAGAAAGGGTTTTTACCAGTTGGTGAACAGCACGCAGCCAGCAGCCAAAAAGGTTGGAATTGTTTAAGAACTTCTTTGCAGAGTTGCTCTAATTACAGCACGTGGGGTCTTGCTGCTGAATTTGAAAGACAACACACGATCCCTCCAGGCTTACCATCTGCGCGCTGAATTCGGGCAGCATGATGCATGTTGCTCCCACCCAGAGAGGACAGAGCAGCTTATTGATCACCCCGTGGACGTGATGCAAAGGCAGCACGTGCAGAATAACATCTTCTTTCTTCCACTCCCATTTTTCAACCAGCCCTGTGGTCTAATGGAAAAAGACACGTAATCTCATGTCAGGGCAGGAGGAAAGCTTCACCCAGGTCCCCAACCTACCAGCACCCCCCTGCACAGCTGGTGCCAGAAATCCCCCCGCTCCCAGAACAACACTTGGGCACAAAAATCCCCTCTTTAGGGCCAGCAGGAGCAGAATTACCATCATAAAGCATTCACAAGGAACCTCTTCTGCACTCTTTCAACGTATGCGTGCACACAGATCGCAGACCTTCCTTGCTACTGAGAATTAAGTCAGCAATGACTTTAAGTAGGACCCACAAAATCATAAGCCTGCAGAAATAGTACATAAAACCTGAAATACTCCAGAACTCAGCTGACACAGTTTGGACATCGATGACGTTGCTCTTCTCACATGTGAAAGGATAACTAGTGGGAGCAGGAAATTGATGTCCCATGAAGAGAATATACAGAATGTATACCAAGCTTCTAATTACCCCTTCACAACAGGGTATTTCAAAGTGTTAGACCTCAGACTCTTCATAGCCCAACGTTAGCAGCTGGAGAGCTTATTTCCAGCTCTCCAAAAATAAAAATCAGTGGAATTTGGTCATGCCATTCACAACCCCCTCCCACAGGGCAGGGAGCTTTCTGTGAGACAGGACCAAAGACAGTCAGTGCTTCGGCTGCCTCCCAGCTGATCAGCATATTTGTCAGGGAACAGATTCTTTGCCCGATATAGCCAAGCCCTGGCTCTATCCATCAAGGCTCTCTTACTGCACCAGCCATTGCAGTATCTGTGCACCCAGAAAGGCGTGAGCTCGACGACGTGTCCATAAGGCACCCTGTATTCTCTGCTCTTTTTCCCTAATGCCATGAGTCTATCGGTTGCAGGCAGTGATAACAAACTGGTGAGGTAGTCAGCAGGCTCATTCAAACTTTTAATTCCTTTTGGCTCAGAGAGCTAATGGATTTTTTGCCTTGGGGATATATAGCTAAATAATGCACAGACTTCACGCAGCACTGTGCAGTGCTGGGCTAAGTTATATTCCAATTATGGGCAAAGATACCTTGCTAGTCACAGTGAAGAAAACTGCAAAGAAAGCAGTCCTTTTACAACAGGTCTGACCTCTGCTGCTTTCCAAGAAAGGAGGCAGAAGCCGTGCCCCTGGCTGCAAGCACAGCACGAGGTTCAGAGCCTCAAACTCTGAGTCCTGTGCTCACCTCAGAAATGCTGGGGACTTTCAGGACACGGCCCAGTAGTGCAGAAATCAGGTCTGTTATGCCAAACCACCTGGGAAGGACAAGACCTTTCCCTCAGCACGAGCATTGCAGAGAAAGCAGCACTCACCACCGCCTGCACATTCTCGTGGGTGCTGAGGACACCCTTTGGTCTCCCCGTTGTCCCACTCGTGTAGATTATCATGGCTCCCCTGTCCTTCCAGGAAGCACTGGATGCCAAGGGCACGTCTTCCACCGCTGTCTGATCTGCAGATCCACTGCTACGAAAGCTGAGTGGCAGCACTGGGACTCCCAGCTTCTCAGCACTAGGGGTTATTTTCCCCACATACTCGTCTGTCGCGATGACGAGGGCGCTCTGCGAATCCTCAATCACATACTCCAGTTGCTGCACAGGGTGCTTCTTGTACAGGGGAACTGCTATGCCTCCACTCATCCAAGAAGCCCACTGGGCAATCACATACGAGGCATCATTGGGGCACAAAAATGAGATCCTCTCCTCCTTCAAGTCCCTGCTGGAGCACTGCAGGACTCTACAGATCTCCTGGGACAGGCGGAGGCTGTGGCAGAAAAGCTCCCTGTATGTGTGCTCACCATTTTGGTCAACGACGGCGACTTTATCACCAAAAGTCAAAGCCCTAGTGAAGACAGGGCTGACGTGGTGGCTGCTGGCTGTCCGTGTGGTTTGCACACCTCTGCGGGGACAGACAGCCCTCTTCTGCACATGCAGCCCCCAGCAGTGCAGGTCACACAGGAGGTATCGTGCAGGCCAGCTCACGCGGGGGGAGAGCAGGGAGAGCAGCATCCTGCCAGCAGAGCTTCTTTTGGAGTGATTCTGCAGAAAGCAATTATAGGAACAGATAAGTATGAGCAGCGATTACCCAGGGGTTTATTCCCACAAAGGAAAAGTGGCAGCTTTCATTTGAGTAATACCCACTGTATTATTAATGTTTATGGTTCAGGCTGCTGTATCCCCAGCGTGCTAGGCCCTGATAGATAGATAGATAGATAGACAGACAGACAGAGATAGATAGATAGATAGACAGACAGATAGATAGACAGATAGATAGATAGATAAATAGAAAGATAGACAGATAGATAGACAGACAGATAGACAGATAGATAAATAGAAAGATAGATAGACAGACAGATAGATAGACAGATAGGTAGATAAATAGAAAGATAGATAGACAGACAGATAGATAGACAGACAAACAGAGAGATAGGTAGACAGACAGATAGACAGATAGACAGACAGATAGACAGATAGATAAATAGAAAGATAGATAGACAGATAGATAGACAGACAGATAGACAGATAGGTAGATAAATAGAAAGATAGATAGACAGACAGATAGACAGATAGACAGATAGGTAGATAAATAGAAAGATAGATAGACAGACAGATAGATAGACAGGCAGATAGATAGATAGATAGATAGATAGATAGACAGACAGATAGATAGACAGGCAGATAGATAGATAGATAGATAGATAGATAGAACAGGACTCAGAGACCCTTCCCCGTGCAACCTAACAATCTAACTTAAACTACCAAATAGTTTTCATCGATCCCTAATATTAGGACATGGAGTAACGGCTGCCTGCATTGCCATTCTGACTCAGCTGACCAACAGCTTAAGAAGTTCAATCATTACAGTGGTAACTCACTCTCCGTTTGCACTTTTCTTCACATCTGCCCTGCTCTGTGCTCAGTTTGACACCGAGACACAAACACCAAGCCCCCTAAACCCCAGCCCAGCAGAGATTTGCTTCCTACAAGCAATCTCACACCAGAGCACAGGCAAGCGCCCAGCCCCCGTGACCTGACGGCCCATCCATCACAAGCATTGCTTTGGCTCTAAAGCCTCCTTACACGACAGACCAGTCAGGAGGTTAACAACCACCGGGCAGCCACAGGCAGCAGAGCCTTCGCCACGCAGCTGCTTTCCCAGCGAGCAACAGCTGCTGGTTTGTTCTGATGCTGCTGAAAGCGCCGAGCTCAGCTGTGCCACTGGTGCAGAGCTCAGCCCAGGCACCCAGCCTGGCTTCCTCGCTGTGACAAGGTTTTTCAACAGAGAAAAGCTCCAGGAGGGAGCTGGAAGGAACACCAGCACCACTAAAGGCTTACCAGTCATTAGACTCTTTGATTATAGGAAGATCACAGGCTGGCAGAAATGTTTTGTCACCTTTCAAAGAGAAAAGGCTGTGCAGTAATTCTGGCCAGCACTTGGATCATCTCACAGGAGCGTTTGGGAGAGTGAATGCAGTGCAGAACTTGCAAGAACAGAATGGGGAGATGGATGCTTCAGCCACAGGAGCACCTTGCAAGGGAGTCCACTGGTGTGCCAGAGACAAGAGGAAGATGTGACAGACCGAGAGGAGCCTCCTCAAATCCAAAAATTTCCCCTGCACAGGGCCTGGAGCTGCAGTCAGAAGCTCAGGTGATAGTACACGCTGTCTCCTTGATGCTAGCAACTGTGATTTTTATAACACTGAAAAGCCACTCCACCAACAGCTCCCAGCTCAGCTTCCCACCATGGGGAGGAGCTGGAACAAAAAGGATGCAGGGAGCTGGCAGCGACTCAGGGAAGAGCTGAGCTCAGATACTTCACTGACAGCAACAAGTGCTGTGTGCAGAGGTTGGAACTAGTTGATCATTGAGGTCCCTTCCAGCTTAAGCCATCCTATGATTCTCAGCGTTTGCTTTTGCAGAGAGGTGGCTGCAAGCCCTGCAGACTCCCTCATCCGCATTCAGAGCATTTCTCCCAGCGGAAGCTGCTTTGCAAACTTTTTCTTTTGCATATCAACCTCAATTTCTGCTTCTGCAAAAGAAACTTGTGATTTTCTGCGGAAACATGGGGGCAAAGCTCTCAACCCAAAGGGTGTCACCCGAGCGCACTCGTGATTTCTACTGTAAGGATGGAAAAAAACCAAAGCAGGTCATGACAAAACTAGCATGATATCTTTCCATTTCTCTGTACGGACTAAAATACAAAATAGAGAACGCAATCAAATCGCCTCCACCCGGCCTGTGCCCAGCACTGGCGTGCTGGTGAGTTGTTAATGCCCCAGGCATTAAGAGGGGCATTAATGGGAAGTGACCGCCTGCCAGCATCACTCCGTGCTGCAGTCCAGCGCAGCTAAGTGCACTTGGCATTCTTGCTTTTCCTCGCAAGGCTCTGGAGCAGGTGTTAGATGTTGCTTCAGAACAGCAGCTTCCAGAAATCACATTATCCCTGTTCCAGCACAGCGCCAGTCCGGATTTAATGGAACAATAAACAGCAGCACCTTCAGCTGGCCCTGTGCATTTATGGGCTTCATAGAAGTAGCATTCACTGTGTGTGTGTGAGCAGGGTCACGCCAGAGCTGTTTGCTTTACTTTGCTCAGAGATAACCAGCAACACAAGTGCTCATCTATTCTCCTGGGTAGAGGATGGTGGTCCTCTACTCCGTGCTGGTAGCACCTGGAGCACTGCACCCAGATGTGGAGTCCTCAGCACAGGATACAGGTGGGCCTGCTGGAGTGTGGACAGGAGGCCACCAAAATGATCCAAGGGATGGAACACCTCCCCTGCGAGGACGGGCTGAGGGAGATGGGGTCGTTCAGCCTAGAGAGGAGAAGGCTCCAAGCAGATCTGAGAGCAGCCTTTCATTATCTAGCAGTGGCTATAAGAAGGAAGGGGACTGACACTTCAGCAGGGTCTGTTGTGACAGGACAAGGGCAAATGGTTTCATGCTAAAAGAGGAGAAATTTAGACTGGATATAAGGAAGAAAGGTTGTTTATTTTTTACCATACAGGCAGTGAGACAGTGGCACAGGTTGTCCAGAAAGGTGGTGGATGCCCCCTCTCAGGGTCAGACCAGAGGGGCTCTGAGCACTGATGGAGCTGTGTGTGTCCCTGTTCATTGCAGGGAGAGGAAGCCAGGTTGTTTTTAGAGGTCCCTTCCAAATACAAACCACTCCGTGATCTCCTATGTGTGCTCGCTGCCCTGGAAGAGATGGCTCAAGCCCAGCCCTGCAGGGCCGGAGCAGGAAAGGACAGCAGGGTGGGGAGCTCCTATCAACTCCTGGCACTGCAGGGTCGTGGTAAGAAATGCCACAGCCCTGATGGAGGAAAGGCCCGGTGCTACGAGGAGGCCCAACCCGAGTGCAGGGGTTCTCCTCCCCCTCTTCACACTGGCAAACGAGGAACAGCCGCAAAACCCCTTTCCCTGCGATATTCCAACCACAAACCCACACCGCAGGGCAGCAGGGCATGGCCCGGGCCGGGCCCACACGGGAGGAAGTTGAGTGCGGGAACCCCAGCAGGCCGTGCGCAGACAGATGAGCGAGACGTTAATTACTCCGCAATCAAAGCCTCCGCTTAACGCAGCCCCGACCCCCGCCTCCCAGCCGGCCGGCCGCAGGGCAGCGCCGGGCCCCGCAGCCCCCCAGGGCCTCACCTGGCGGCGCCGGCAGTGCGCAAGGGGCGCTCCTTTGTGAGCGGGCTCCGGCGGGAACACGGCGCCCGGAACGAACGTTCCGCTGCCAAAACGTTCCGCCCCCTCCCTCCGCCCCGCGGCCTTTTGTGGGGGTTCGGCCGCACGTGGCACGCTCGCAGACACACGCAGAAGGCCGGGCAGGGGGCTCTCAGCGTGGCCGTGATGTCGCAGTGCCGCACCGTGCTGTCCCGTGGTGGCACTACGGGTTGGGGACGGCGCAGGGTTCGCACCGGGGCTCTGCGGGTGCACGTGGAGGTGCGGGTCCGGGATGGAAGCACAGGGCTCCGCGGGGCACAGTGCAGACCCATGGCCTTCTGCTCCCCGTCACGGTGGGGTGACGGCGGGCCGCCCACCCCCAGCTGTGTTTCCACCGCGTGGCCCAATGCGGCCCAGCCAGGCATGGCAGGGTGGGAACGGTGTGGGGACGGCTGCGTGGCCAGGGGCTGCCCCACCGCGTTGCCCCCCCAGCTCCTCAGGCTGCGCTGCTCCCCTGGGCACGGCTGGCTGTCCATTGCAAGGATTGCTCCGTTACGGCTCCTTCCTCACAGCGTGGCTCCTTCCCCGGTGCAAAGATCAACCACTGCACGGATCTGTCATTGCACAGCTCCTTCAGTGCATGGTTCCCTCTGCCCTGCACAGTTTCTTCCCCGTTACATAGCTCCATCTCATTTGCAGAGCTCTGTCCCCGTGCACAGCTCCCACTCGCAAATTCCTTTCCTATTGCACAGCTCCCCAGTGTACTGCTCTGTGTTGCACAGCTTCCTATTGCATGATGCCTTCCATATTGCACTGCTCCCCGGTGAACCTCATTGCACAGCTCCACACTGCATGGCTTCCTTCCCACTGCACAGCTGCCTTTCTATTGCATTCCTCCTTCATGCACAGCTCCAGAGTGCAGCAGTGCTGCTGGAGGAACCCAGCCATGTGGCCCTAACCCCTCCCAGTAGATGCCCACCTCCCCACCAGCAGGGCTCTGCCGTACCCAAGTGTCACCCTGCAGCTGCACCGACTCTGCTCCACACCACCCTGCCACCTTCCTTCCCCTTCTTGCACTTGCCATCTGCCACCAGCCTCTCTTGCTCCCTGGCCACTGCATGCTGCACAGATTAACCCTCCCGGCAGCCGCAGGGTGGGCCCTGGTGGCCCTGGAGTGTTGCTGGTCCTGACATCCCTGGGTGGTGTGGGGATGGGGTGCACAGTATGGGGACAGACATGTGACAGCACAGGGCGGGATGCTGCTCTGTTACTTCAGTTTGTGTCCCAGAGTGGGGGGGGACATGGCCAGCTGCCCGCATGCACAGCAGATGTCTGCCCTCTGCTGCTCCATCCCTCAGCACCTGCTGACCATTGGCCATCTGGACCCCAGATCCGCTGGGGGATGATGCTGAGCTCACTCTGATGGCCCCCACATCTGAGCCCAGGGTCCTGGGAGTGTCTGTGCCCCCACGCAGCTCTGTGTCCCCAGATGAGCCCTTTGGGGCCACCGTGGTTCTCATCCCCCCCCACCCTCCTCCTCTGCTTGGAGCTGAGCCGCGCACCCCGTGCTGTTGGGAGCGCATTGCATCAAGCAGCTCGCTGATTAATTATGGATCCAGCAGAAAGCTTTTATTGCATTAGAGTTTACTTGTGGCAACATCCGTATTTATTAAAAAAAAAAAAAAAAGGAACATTATTAGAAATGTGGTGTAAACAACACTATTTTGTGGGGAGGTTGATGTTCAGGGGAAGCACTGCAGCTGCAACCCTGTGCCATGCAGGGGTGGCCAGGAAGGGATAGGGCCCTACATGGGGACACAGTGAAGGACAAGGATGTGGGGACACAGCAGTTTTGGGGCAAGGATGAGCCACCCTGGCTAGGACAGCCCAAGGCAGGGGACAGGGAGCAGCACGGAGGCACTCGGCGTGAAGTGCCACCCTAAGTGCCTCCAACCTCATGCAGAGAGGATAAGTGCAAAATGGCCCTATTATGATAATTGTGTGAAATTATGATGGATGGAGATTAGCTGCTTATTGGAGGAAATGGTGGGCACACGTGTGCCATGGCCCGGCTGGGGGACAGGAGGCATGGGGACGAGGATACAGGAACAGGGGTTGGCCTCTGGGGCTCTTCCTATGGCCTTGCCGTCCTGGGAGCTGCTGGCTCTGGGGCTGGGGACGTGCTGCAGCACAGACAGCGGGTGCTGCACAATAGGAGCGTGGCATGGGGATGCTGTGACACACATGCAGCCCCAGGGGCTCCTGACGTGTTGTGCCAAGCTCAGCAAACATATCCCCAGTTAGGGGAAAGCCTGCTTGATGGGAATGGCAGGAAGCTGTGCTGTAGGGCTGTGCTGCGGAGGATGATGAGGCAGCACAGGCACCCCTGTGGATCCTCGTACATGGGAGCTTGCCAGAAATGTGGCTCTCAGTGACTTGACTCCTTGACTCTTGCCCAGGTACACCTATGCACATCCCTCAGATGCAACCAAGCTCCAGCTGTGGCTGCATCCCTCTCCAAAAAGCCGCAAAGACCAGGAATTTAGGGCAGAAAGGTGAAAACTGGAGAGGCGTGGAGGGTCACAGTGCCTTCACCTGCCCTGCTGATGGCTGCTGGTCACAGCTGGGGCACGGCACGTGGACACCACATGGCACGAGGCCATAGAGGCCACCCATTGCAGCCGGGAAGGACCCCAAAGCCTCCCCCCCATTGGCACAGAGCCTCTCCCCGCTTTCTCCTTCCCAATTTCCTGGGCCCCCCTCTCGCAGCAGGTGGATGCTGGGTAAGAGGTGTGTCTGGGAGCTGTGCTCACCACGCAGCGTCGCCGCACGGGTCTGCTGCCGTCGTCGCCTCCTGCTCATCGGTGTGGGGTGCGCGTGGGGACGTGGGGACAGATGGGGCCGAGCCTCCCCACGTGGCACCGGGGTGCTCCGGAGAGGGATGAGGATGTGCCAAAAGGAAAGGTCCCCCGCGCGCGGCGATGGCACCGCTGCCAGCTCCTCGCTCTGCGTTTTTCCTTTTTTTTTCCCCCCCCTGTTTGGCTTTTGGCAGCAGTGCTGGGAACAACAACAGCCCCCCGTGGCCCCGGCCCCGTGCCAGGGCGGGTGATGGCAGAGGGGCTCTGCTCAGCTGCGGAGCATCCCCACGCTACACGCTGCCAAGTTCCCTGCGCTGGCACCACAGGCGGCTCCGGAGGCAGCGAGGCTGGGGATGGATTGTGAAAGGGAGCGAGGAGAAAAAAAAAAATGGACGCATGCCATCGCTGGAGCGGCGAGGCTGCCAAAATGCCAGCAGGCAGCGTGGGGCCGAAGCCAGCCGGAGGGGAGAGGAGGGTCTGCAGCCCATCGTCGTGCGGCACATGGAGGACGGGCAGCGTGGCGGAGTGCCGCTTGGCCGGAGCAGGACGGATGGAGGATGATGGAGCTGGAGAGGAGGAAGGTATGACTTGCCTTCGTTTGCATGCCTGCTGGGTGCGTGGTGGTGGGCTGGGTGCCCGTGGCCTCGCTGCACTGCTGGTGCCAACGTGCTCCCGACGCCTATGGAGGAAGGTATGGGGCTGTGGGTACTGGCGGTGCTGCAGGAGGGGATGTGCCTTCGCCGTGCGGTGCAGCACAGGAGGCTGCCCAGGGCCGGGGCTGGGCTTTGTCTGGCCGGGCTTTGTCTGCTGCGATGGATGGAGGCGGCAGGGCTGGGACATGAGGGGCCAGCTGGGAGCAGGGCACGGCGGGAGGCTGTGTTTGGGAAGGGGGAGCGATGGGACAGCCCAGTGAATCGCAGCCCAGAGGGTCTCAGGTATCTGGAATGCAGCAATGCTGCTGCCAGGGGGCAGGGTGGTGTATGCCCTGGTACCGTGTACACAATCCCATAGGAATCAATCCTATAGGAATCATCCCGTGCTCCCAGTCTGTAAACAGGCTCAGGAGGGGCTGGAGGGCAGAGCACAGCCATGGAGATTGTGCTGCAGTCCTCAGCACAAAGAGGACGGTGAGCAAAGTGCTGTCCTCACCAACAGGCTGGGCTTGGGGCTGCATGTTTGGATGTGTTGGGGATGGGGTTGCAGCACCAACAACGAGCCCCCTGCACCACCCCAGCTCCTGCACAGCGCTCTGCACCCACCAACGAACCCACTGTGCCCAGCAGCATCTCTTGCCCTCTGCTCCCACACCATCGGGACAACTTTCCCTGGGGTCCCCAGCCCAGGGGATGCCCCGTGAAAACCATTGCTCAGAGCTGGATCAGGCCCTGAGCTGCCACCGCAGGGGGCTGAGATGTGCCCCCCCCGTGCTCCCCCTCTCCCTCATTTTCCTCCATATTTCACAGTTCCTGCTTCCTGCACAAGCCGGGGGTCTCCGGGGACTCCAGCCAGATGTTCTCTGCAGCACACCACATTGCTTTCCTAATGAAATATTCATGCAGCCTCGCCGCTTTGCTTGCCATGAAAGCCTTCGGCAGCTCCCAGCCGTGGAAGCCCTGGGCAGGCAGCGCTCTGCCGCTCACAGCAGCTCAGCATCCTTCATCCCTCCGTGCTCATCCTCCTCCTCTTCGAGCTGAGTGGGTGATGCCATCATAGCAACTTTGTCCCTGCTCTCCTGGGACCTTGCATCGTCCACCCGAGGCTCTGCCATAGGGACAGCAGTGTCCCCAGTGGGGGTGACAGCTCTGGGTCCCCGTGTGGCACACGGTGTGGCAGCAGAATGGTGGCAGAGTGTCAGAGGCAGAGGCCTCGCCTGCCCTGCAGCTCCTCAGCAGCCCGCAGCATTAGCGATGCCACGCACTATAATCCAATTAGGTTGTTTATGCAAACAATCAGGTTTTATGTTTCAGTAAAAAGCTTAAATAACTTTAATCAAAGCGAAAGACCCGATGTTATCACCAGCGCTGTGGTTGGTAGGGATGCCCTGCCCCTTACAGGGCCATGCAGTCAGTGCTTCGCCTCCAGCCCATAGCCACCGCCATCCCATGGGTGCTGCCACCACGGGGCTCCCCCCAGCACCATGTCCCTCCTGTGCAGTAGATAGCAGGCCAGGGCTTCTCCATCCACGGCCTGGAGACAATTAACT